ACTCGTATTTTCCATTGAAATTAAAAAAAGATTCAACAGATAAAGTTTACTCTACCATTTATCTTGAAATCGACGATGAGGGTTGGTTGAGAACAAGTTTTAAGACAAAAGAGATGAGCATAAATCATCCCATAAAAACACTCCTTACTAACCAATTATAAACTTTTCATTTCTATGTAGCATTATAGCAACACCTGCATATCTATACTATTAAAGGAGGAGACCGATTTCATTGAGCCTCAACTCCTCTGAAATAATAACAAGTCGGAATATTTATGATATGACGTATAAATGTAGGGTTTTTCATTTCCTAAATTTGTCTTTGCATGCTCAGTCTACGTACTGCCCGCAAAATTAAATAAAACTCTGTATTTAAACACTTGCCCAATTGTAACGCGATTTCGCGGCATCTTCTTGTGGAGTATATATCTCCAAGTTGATGCAATATTCCAGAGCTTGCATTTACTTTCACGATTGTCGTGATAGTGTGTAACTGCTCACAATGAAGATATTAAATAAAGGCAACTATAGTATACCGCTATTCAATAGTCATTAATCGATTTACAAGTAACTGAAACAAATCCGGGTCACAAACCAAAACCGTGGGAAATGCATCAACTATAAGAGGAACACAACGGAACAACAGAAACACTGAACTGCTACAAAAACAAACATTAACATACAAAGAAACAGATTATTCGATACCAACTGCCATATGCCTGACTTGGTACAGGACATTTGAAGAAAAATTGTGGTTTGAGTTCAAATGCAAAGTTGAAATCATCCCTTTGAAAATTTTATGGACACCACTACGAGTTGGTTGACAATTATTTAATATCTGTTTTGCCAGATGACGACTGATAAGTTCCAATCGATGTAACCAAAATACCCTCATTTCTGCCTTGAATGTCACCTACCGAATAAGGCTTGGCACCGAGGTAGGAATTACACGAGCCACAAGACGGGTGTCACATGTGGAACATGATCTGCTCACCCTTGTGGAGCCCCTGAGTTCACCCCAAATATTTTTGGGGGGTTTGTGTTACTCAATCTGTAGTTTTGATATGTTGTGTTGTGTATACTGTTGCTTGTTCGTTTTTTGCCCGGCTTTGTCAGTTCGTTTCCAATTATGAGTTTGATGTCCCTATACTCTTCAAGTAGTAAAAGTTTTAAAAATTGTAGATCATTGTAGTTAAATGTATCATAATAACGATTTGGTTCTATATATATATCACCGTGAGCAAATTAAGTTATTTTCGCGGTCTTATTGCGTTAATCTTCTTCACTTTACTTTGAGGCGATTTTTTTGCCGATTTTCATTACAGCAAGTTAATATCTTTCAAGTGAAATAATACCAAAGGGACAATCAACATCTCAAACCATGAATCAAATAAACTTAATTAAAACCATGAACAAACCACGTCCAAGAGACGAACAACAGTCCACAAAACACAGCACAGCATGAAAACGATCACTGCCTAAAACAGCGAATGATTTTATGAGGTCAGGAAGGTATTCAATTTTTTCATTTTTTTTATTTCACAACTGCTTATAGTGTTTTACATAAACAATGACCTGCATTTGTATTTTAAAAGCTTATGTTGAAAATACTCAATCCTATCTCTATACCTTTGAAATTTGGTTTGTGAGAATAAAGATATATAGAAGCATCTTTTATTCAAATAATTAAAAAGATTAAACTTCTAAACACATTTAATATGTCTAACACGATTTTAAACTAAATAAGAAGCAGCAGCATTATATGTAGTTCGTTTAAATCTCGAGTTAGACTACCATGTTGCCTATGATTTAGTCGCAAAGTCATGTTTGCATTTAAACATGATTAAACAAGTAAATAAGTTTGACTTCGTAAAAAACATATTTTTACCTCAATTAGCTCGTATATATTCTTTTCGAACTTTAAATACTCCTTCTTTTATTATGGAAAATCAATCTCCTCCCTGATATGACAATTAGCGATGTGTTATCTTAACATAGAATAACAAAATGATCGCTATTTGCAGATGGCAGATTTTTGGGCAACTGCAAACACTTTAATAGAAGGCTGTTCTATGAACAATAATTAATAGATGCATCTTAAAATTACAAAACAAATATTCCTTGACCTAAAACATATTATTTATCTATTTTGTTAGCATACAAATATCGATCCCCGAAGATATATTTTGCTTTTGGAACAATTTTTCATTTTTTTTAGGATTTGTGATGAATTTCAATTTTCGGGAAATATTGCGCATATAACCTCTTATTTTTTGTTTGATTTGGAAATAATGTATTATATTATATAAAGTTCATATGATCTTTTGAAAAATTTTATGTTACAAGAATTAGAAAATGGCTTTTTGATTAGTAATTGCAAAACATGGAATGTTTTTTCATGACCTTTGACCTTGATTTAACAGAAAACGCACCGTACGATTTTTTCACGACCGGACAAAACAGAAAGTACAGTTTATTAGCTTTCGAATGATATATAATACAGCCGTGTGTTAGGTGGGTGCATTAAAGTCGTTAACTAAGCGTCTTTTTGAAATAAGTCACTCGCCTATTATCTATAATAAGAAATAGTAACATAAAAAAGTTCTTAAAACATGGTATACATTAAAAACTGCATTAATAGTACGATTCTTATATTACTAAATCTTCTTCCTGTATTATCCGTATCAAGGTATAAACTAAATAATTAACAGAAATGTACTTCAGTGTATTTGTCAGTTGCTGTTCTTTTCAGTTACAAAAATGGATTAAAATTAGTAAGTCATATATTACAAACAATTGCTATCGTGAGAAAGTTTGTTAAAAGAAGCACTAAATTTCCATCTAGTTATTTTGACATACATTATTTTTGGTTAATATTTAGTTTGTTCGTGTTGGTGAATATTTTTTTTAAAGTGTTGTAAGGGACATGAATGTAACATTTTTAGTACACGGTACGCTGGGAAAGTGTCAAAAGCAGAAAGTTTTTCATGGCGAAAAAGTTCATAGGAAGTGTCAAATGCGATACAATTTAGATACACAAATTAACAACTACAGTTTTTTTTTTTCTTTTGCTTTGTTTGCCAATTCTATTTCCTATTCAGTACACTAGTGTTATCATATTTACACTATACAGAGGTACAGTCTGAATTGGATTTAAAAGATACTTACACGTAAAATCAGTATAATTGAACAGTTTCCGTCTGCAAAGTGACAAAACAAAAAAATATATTGACAAGATCAAAAGGCCGTTTGAGTTGAAGCTTCTAGTATGGTCATGAAACTTTGAGAGAATAAAAAAATTGGAATCAAATAGGTCATGATAATCAATTTATTATACAATAAATAAAAAAATAATTTCATCGGCACTTCCAATTGCGTAGTGCACATGCACAAGTTAAACCAGCAAATGATTTTCCACAATACTGACAATGTATGAGGGTCGTGGTGGGGTTTACAGAAAAGAGAATAATGGGCAAACAGTGAAGAATAAATGGTAATTAAAATAAAGTATAGAGAAAAATAAGATGTAACGAATAGAATATAATGGACAAAACAAGCATACAGAAAAATGACGTTAACAATTACAGAATACAGAAATGAGAGACCCCCTATCAAGACCCTCATATATGCATGTATGTCATGTCATGAACATGAAGTTTGTGGTTTTACATTTAATGATACTAGCTACATGATTTGTGTAATTGTTTGGAGTATGTATTTGACATTTTTTGTGTCAATGTATTCAGGAAATACAATTGATTAGAAACTAAGGAGATCTACTACATGTATGATTGTCAATGAGACAGCAATCCGCCATAGATCAAATGAAGCGGAAGCACGCAACTACATGTATATGTAACCGTGTGGCCTTCATGGAAAAAAAACGTTTAGTAAGCTAAAATAAAGCCCCATATTTGAAAAATATAAAACCACTCAAATTAGAAAACCAATTAAGCTAACGTTATACTGAAAAGCAATATATGCAATGATAATTTAACATACAAGACTAAATCTTTCTTGTAGGAACGAGTAAGTTCACAAAACTCAAGCATTTTTTTTTATTGCATCCTCAAAACATAAAAAATGGGAGGGAGAAAAAGACATTTAGCATACCATTGGACTAATGAATAAACGCTGCAATTAGCAACAGTTTAATGTTGTTTTTAAATTGAAAGTTTAAACATAAAGACTTCAATATATTTTGAATATTGATTTTTCCCATTCCTATCTATCCTGTACATGTAAGCAGTGAACAAATGACATTGGAAATTCACAGTCATCTAAATATGAAACAAAACAAAATTGCACTTTTCATAACTCACCTGCTTGATAGGCATGGACGAGCTTCTATTGTCTGTATTGATAAATTGTCAGTTTCAAAATGTCACACAATGTTTTGGCAAAAAGATAATATATATCATGTTCTACCGTCAATATGACATATACAGGACCAGAAGATGTAAATGTTAAATGAAGATGAAACCTCCTTTGCATCGGACCGAAATGCTGAGCGTTACCTTACGAGTTAAATGTCCACATCCTACTGTGAAACAATCGAACCAACTAGTCTTTCGGTTACTCCGTACTCTTAATTCATTAAGAAGTTTACAACTAATCCATGTTGCAAAAAGAATAATTTATACATGTTTTAAGTTAAAATTATAAATGTTCTGAACATTCTTTTGTTAAACCTTGTGCCATCTTTAACTTCAGGACAAAAGCTATATGAATAATTATAAAAAGCCCTTTTGAATGAAAACACACTTGAGAAATTATATGCGTCCGAAGCTGTTTTAAAAAAAGTAACACGAATGTTTAAATTCTTAAAAAGTGTTTCTCAAATTCCTCCGTGTTTGCCTTGATATAAAGACACCAAAAATCTACTACGCACAGCAACGGAAACTCGTTTTTGTCTGTAACATATTTTGCTTTGTATCTTATCACAAAATTAATTCAACGCAAATTAATAACGGTTATTCAAGTAAAATGACAAACTGTAATTGGTTAACACATTTATTGTTAACATGACTTTTTATCAGAACAATATTTATGTTGGTCTACATTGTTATATATTGGATTAAATTCTTTGTTTTGCAGGCAGTCAACAAATGTTTTGTCACACTTACATACTCTCCCCTCACAGGAATTGGGACCATCTGAAAATATAACAATGAAATATCATAACAATGAAATTATAAATAAATACTTCATTTGATGTAATGTAAGATATGAAATAATAAAGATATAATTCTTCATACGTGTATCAAGACACGAATTGAGTGATCACATTTTTTGTTTTCGTTCTTCTTTTAAATTAACATAATACTGGAGGTAAAGATAAATTAAGAACATTTATTATAATTATAATGATTAAAATAGATAAATATGATAGTAATAATTAATATAAAAATAACAATAATAATAATCATAACAATGACACTAGTTGAGACGAAAACATGTCAATATTATTTGAATATTAAACCTGATTTGTACTAGTGCGGCATGCTGAACCGGATTGTTAACGTGCTAGTTTACACGGTAAAATACCCGGACACATTATTCTGACTCCGACCCAACCAGTATTTGCTCTTACTCATTAAAGCTGCGTGCTTAGCGAAGAAGCAGTAATTGTCACTTTTAAAGTCATTGATACATTTTATGACTCGACCGGGGTTCACACCAATGACCTTCCGCACTCGAGGCAAATACGTTACCACAACACCACCGAGGTGGTATAAACAATTTAGCATTGTTCCCAATCATACGTTGAGACGCAGCTACATGCAAACAGTTATATGTTTTTGTCATTTGAAGCGTTTGTCAATTTATAATATTCAAATGTCAGCGTTGACAATCTTTGAGATGGAAATTATTTAAGCAGAAATAAATTAAAAACTGTTTTCTCATATATCATAATACAAACCGTAATAAGACTTATTTATTCATTCTATTTCATTCATTGTCACACATTAAATTGTAATTATTATGACACAACACATTAACTACATATTCTTCATTGTGCGATACATGTGTATGAAGATAACAGGCTTATACCCATTTGAAAATTAAAGAAAAAATCTTTATTAGAGAAGGCCAAGTTTGTATATTTGAACTTTGCCTACATCATACATGTTTCTATGAGCTTTAAAAGTTTAATGTAGGTGCGTAATTTATGATTTTATGAATCTTATATACTTGTTTTTACCTAAATTATAGTACGGAGCTTCGAGATATTTGTAAACTTTTAAACTAAAGACAAATGTGTAGGTGCAAATACATGTGGATCTTGTTTGTACATAAGCATTAATTCAACTGAAAAAAAATTCTCGAAAAGATAAAAGATTGATCTTTCAAAGCATTAATTTGCATCTCTACACCCAGCGACAGTCTTTTGGAAAAAAACCTACAAATTGGGCAATAACTGCATGGAAAAAAGAAAGTAAAGTACACCTTTTATGTTCAAGCGTGATAGAATTGACTATTTTGTATTGAAAACATATGATACATCGTTGCGCTTCAGATTCCAAGTTTTAATATATTTTAGGCTACAGATTGATATAATACCATTAAAAATTCACAGTACTAAAAACTGAAACGTGTCACGTGAAATACCTTTCTAATGAGGAGGTGCGTTAGAATAAAAAGATTTTACTAAAAATACTTGACGACAGACTTTATAAGTTGATCTTAAACATGCATAACTTCAAACAAAACTCATTTTTGTGTGTGCTTTCTAGTGTTATAAGTCTTCAACATCTAAAAATCTGTAGTCTGCCCTTCCACGAAATATTTAATTAGTGTTAGGTTGATTATAGGCATTTAAATGATGCTTAATAGATAGTGAACACATTTGTCTTTAAAAAAACAACTGTCATATAAGGGTCGTAATGATGCTGTGTGGCCTTATGTCCCACTGGGGATATAGAGGATAAGTAAGTAAGTAATGATGCTGTGTGGTTAAATGTATCGGTTTTCAAAAGCAAAATTTACAGCGCGTCAACATTACAATAGCTAAAATTTTTACTATTGAAAAAAATAGTTGGCGTAATGGGGAGATAATTATGACGAAGAGGAATCCTGACTGATACTTGTGGATAGCCTGGGGTAAAAAAATATGGTAGTTTCTTATCTTTTCCAGTTCGTCATTAAAATTTCATTGTCCAGGATTTATATATATTCAGTCATGTATGGACCGAATTGATAAGTTTACTAAATTCGAGTGTCACGCTATCTGCGCTTTAATGATCCAGTGCAAGAACTCTCAGAAGGGTCCATAGGTGGAAATGCCAAATGTTTACCCTACCCAGCACAACGTTATTTTTCATTAGCAGTCACAATGTCCCACTGTTTACTCAATTTAGCACATGAAGGTATATTTTGTATTACAAAGGGGAAGTATAAAACAAATCTAGTGGAACTTCAATATAAAAAAGATTGTTATTTATATCATACGTCAACGATTTGTATTACAACTAATGATATTTAGCTGTGCATTGATATTGAAGACAATTTGAATATTTTGATAGAATAGTTGTATTGCAAGGCCTTTAAGCACAAATGCTTCGCTTTTAAATATCTCAACATTTGCAATATTTTGATAAAATTGCAGCGTTACGCCAATAGAGTTTTGTGATTTTTGCACAATTGCACACGGAATGATGTCTTCGATGATATCATTGACGATGATGCAGCGGATATTCATAAAACCGACACGATAACTGTTTCTGTCTCAAACAAATCGGATACAGAATCGTTTGAGACTGACTTTATGGAACCAATATCAGTGGTTCAACAATTCGACAGCATCTTGAAGACTGAAGTATGCCATATTTTCTTTAAATCGTCGTGAAGACGACAAAGAGGAAACAGACTCCTCCGTGACTTCATGGATAACTGTAAACACGCCTGTACGGTGGAAGGACGCATTTGAAATGTTAAATCAATAAGAAGCCACACAAACTACACAAAGATGTAGAGAAAATGAATGGTTGGCTTGAGAAATAAATATATTCTCTCTGTATCAAATCTATCTTCGATTGCAATGAGTATGCTCCTTTAGGATAAGGGGGGCTGTCCCACTCATTGCAATTATTCTCTCTCTTACAATATTAAATATACCCAAAATGTGTGGCCTGTGTGAATTGAATTGAAATATGTCCTTAGCTAGGAGCTATGCTGCCAATTTTTTATGCAGTCAAACATTTCAGTACAGAAGAATTTACTTTTAATGGGGTGCTATGGATTTCACCCCAAAGCTAGACTTAAGATTTTTGTTTGTTTTAATTAAAGCCTGGCATCAACATATCTTTCCAAATATAACCTTTATGTCAGATGTCTTATATATTTTTTTTTAAGTTGTCTTTTTTTTATAATTGAGGAAGATTCAATCTTTTTTTAACACACTCCTAAATTGTCTTTTGAATCTTAATATCTACATTTTTCTGATGCAAATACTCTACTCATGAAAACTTCTAGTAAAGATGCATATATGTCAGTGAATATGTTTCTTTACAACAATTCTAGTCATTCCTTGTTTATAAGTGTTCCAGTATTTCATAATACCATAAATTTATGTCATAAATTGTATAATGACACTATGTTAAGTTTCAGTTTTGGTTTAAAAGGTGTTAACCTAAAAATGCCTGTTCATTTCATGTTGGTTTTCAGTGTTTGTTGTTTTAAAATGTTTTTTTCTTCACAAGAAACTTGGTTTGTGTTAAACTGCTTGTTTAAACTTTATTTTGGCTGATAAAATAAAATATTTTTCCTACCTACCGACCCTGCAGTCTGAAGGTACAGTCGGAAAACTGCAAACAAACATATTTTTTTAAGGTTGGCCTGAGTTTTTTTTTTTTGTTCTTTTCAAAAATAAAATTATATATGATTGGACACAAAAGTTCACAAACATCTTGATGTGAAAGAAGTCCAGTCAAAATTATTCAACCAATCAAAAATGGTAAAAATATTTTACGATATTGTTTAATTTACCTTCACAGTTGACTGTTTTGTTTCCGAGATAAAATCGGTAATCCAAAGTTTTCGGCAAACAATCGTGTTCACGATCATAGCAATCGTCATGGTCTTTACAACACCTGTAAAATAAAATGAAGTATAGTCCATCAAAGAACATCTCCAAATACCTTAATGAGGGTTGCGATAGGGTTGATGTAATAATGGAAACACATTTTTTTTAATGGAAATAAATGGACGTATTTAAAGAATATAGAGTAATACATTTGTAATAAGTGCTAAAATAAAGAGTAAAGAATAATGGATGAGCAAACAAAGATTGTAAATAATGGCCTAAAATAAGTTAATACAGAAATAAGGACTCTCAATTTGAATTATCTTTAAGGATTGAAAAATTATACGATATAAAACGATCAAAGACATTCACAAAACGGTCATAATTAAAATCAGATATAAATTAGACTCAGTGTCAAGTAAAATGAAAGAGTCTCAATCTGTATTGTGTTTGATATTTCTCTCACTATATTTAAGAGATATTGTATTGTCCCTTCTATGTTAAAAATTTCTCAATGATTATACATTTGTTCATAACATCAGACTGATGTGATATTTCTTTTTTTTTTCGTGCATTTCTTGTGTACCAATTATATTTTCATTATGTTTGTAACAGATACTTGGTATTGTCGAACAGGACCCTTATCTAAAACCAAATTTGAATGTTTATTAATGAACCAAAACTGCAACTTTGGTGCATTTTGACAAAGTTTTGGTATTTATCGTCATGTAAAAAGTAGGGTATGTTGAAATTGGGCAGACATTTTACTTCCAAATTGGCTATCTATTAATCCATTGTGGTTGCAAGTGTTAAGATTGTTGATATCTGAGTTATCACTTAGTGCGTTTGTCCTCAATGTTTTGCTCATTGCAAGTATTGTGATATCTAAACTGCGACTATTCTTTCATATAATGCATTTTTTATTATTTCTATATTCGTCTAAATAAGTTACAACTTAACGACATACTTTCATCTTAATCGGATAACCTTCTCAGGATTATTTTGATTTCGCAACAAATACATCATCTATATAATTATACTGCTTCAAGATATTGAAATTTGTTTTTTCAAAACTTGGGACGAATACGATATATAAAATTGTCATATTGTATGAGATTTATTGGTAAACTGTATCCTTCGCGCATACTTACTGGTCCACGCCATCTAGTGGGTGGCTTTTACCAGACTTTCCACAATAACAACCGTAGTCTAAAAGTGCAGTGGCTCGATCTTCTCCAAAATGATAGTCTAATTGATATTCAAGCTGCCGGAAAGATCTCTTATGTCTCGCAGTTCTGGCCTCTGTAATAAATTGACCATTATATATGTTGACATAGAACCAAAAACATCACTTATTTGAATAATAATTTAATACTCATTTTTACCTTTGCACATTTGTTGTTTTGTTTTCGTTTTCGTTTTTGTTTTTGTTTTAATTTAAATATGTTATATGGCCTTAAATGTAAAGAACATATAAGCCGATTGCAGGCCCGGATGAACCAATGTCAGTTAAAGCAACAACTTCAACATTAATATTGCAAAGTCAACTTTGGTTTTAGGAAGTTTCAATCTTTAATTTGGAGACGAGTTTAAGTCTTTATCTTTTCGTGTAACTGAAAATGCATATTTTCCCCATTTGTATTTCCTTTATTTGACAAGTTAAGATAAACTAACGACTTTAATGAACATGGGGTTTTCCAAAGTAGATAATAGTCATGTTTAAGGTTACCGCACTATCTTACCCATCTACAGAATAACCTTACGTTCACCTGAATGAGTTAACGTACTCAATAACAAAGAATTATGCATGTTTTATAAACCGTTTAAGTATCATTATTTGATTTTATATGTGTTCATATTTAATAAATCGAGCAAAATTCCCAATGGAAGCTTATCATTCTTGAATATATAACGTCATATCCTGTGATGGTTTCAACTTTTAAAACTTTAAAATGCAGGTGTTCGTCTTTCGTCTGCCTATACGTCATTTCATTTTGTCCAATGAATTTTTATTTTCGGTTCCACTTTAAGGCTACTTATTTTTAGTTTTTCAAATCCATATTGCCATTAAAACAGATAATCTGTCACAAACATAATACCAAAAAAAAACTATATATTCATTCGAATCATAAGTTGTGAATTTGCGCAAATTCTATATGTATACGTAAAAGAAATCTAATTATTCAAATGTTATATAGATTTATAAGTGAAGTCACAATAACATTGGGAATTTTCATACAATTTTGAGAGTTAACTGTAATCATTTGAATCACCAGTTGTTTTGTATAAATACAACCAGTGCGGAAAAGTGAGCAAAAATCAGAGACAATAATTTCTCTAATTCTTTGTCAACTTAACAATTTCTGGACCCATTGTATCAACAAATCAAAAAAAAAATTAAACGGACATGTGGTTGCCGATTATCTCAGAAGATGATTGGATGAGTTTAAGGGTCATAACCTTTATCAGATCTCGGGATGAATCGGAATGTGCTAACAGATGTTAGAGAAATTAACAGCTTAGTGGAATGTGGAAGGCACTCGAAGGGGATTTTCGTTTATCAAAAATGAAAATGTATTTGATAATCAGTAGAGAAACTTATTCTTACATAGTTACTAATGGATAATCATATTTGTCCAATTTCGATAAGTTAATTATCAATTTTAAAGTCCTCGCAGAGGCTCGATACTTTAACTATCTCGATTGGATAAATCCGATAATCCACTGGTACCAATGTAAGCATCTATATAAAAAAGAAGATGTGGTATGATTTCCAATGAGACAACTCTTTACACGAGACCAAATGACACAGAAATAAACAACTATAGGTCACTGTACGGCCTTCAACAATGAGCAAAGCCATTACAACACAGGCAGCTATAAAAAGCTATAAAAGGCCCCGAGATGACTATATGCATCAACCTACACTTTACGTACCTCCTTTATAACTGTACACCATTATGCACAATAAGCATGCAGCAGTATTCTGAAACGACAAAATGCCTGAAAGGAGTATGTGCAAATGGCGAGACAAATCTTTCACCGAATTAGAATAATTACATTACATGTATGTTTCATGTGAATCCGTTAGTTTGATTGGCTAACAACAATCACGCGTCATTCAAAAATTAATCTTCATATCAAAATGAAATGTTACATTCGTGATGACACGTGCTTCCAGTAAAACAAAAGTGCACAGAAAGATAAAAGAAAAACTTGATAAAAGGTTTTTTCATGGTCTTATTAGCATAAAAATGTAATTATAAGAAATGAATGCTTCTTTTTGTAATTTTATCGGGATGTAAACGTGTTGATCGTGCACACATTTTTAAAATGAAGCGCGAAACATACAAAATGTGCTTCGTTCAACACTTGTACTCCCCTAATAAAATTACAAAAAGAAGCATTCATTTCTTAAATAAAATACTAGCAATTGATTTGTTTTTGAGATAAACCTCTTCTTTAGTTAAAAAAATTCAAAAGCATTTTTTATTAACATTTCTACTATGAATATAATTCTGTTTACACTCATTTCATCAGTTATTTTCTCTTTTCAAACATAGATATAGGAAGATGTGGTATGAGTGCCAATGAGACAACTCTCCATCCAAGTTACAATTAATAAAAGTAAACCATTATAGGTCAAGGTACGGCCTTCAACACGGAGCATTGGCTCACACCGAACAGCAAGCTATAAAGGGCTCCAAAAAATGACCAGTGTAAAACCATTCAAATGGAAAAACCAACGGTATAATCTATATAAAAATGAGAAACGAGAAACACGTATGAACTACATAAACAGACGACAACTACTGTAATCAGATTCCTGACTTAGGACAGGTGCAAACATTTGCAGCGGGATAAAAAGTTTTAATGGTACCAAACCTTCTCCCTTTTCTGAAACAATAGTATAACATCACAACATAGAAAAACATGTACAGTATGTCTAAGAACTATGAGATGATTAGAAAAAAAGTAAAATAACAAAAATAATCAACTCCAAGGAAAATTCAAAACGGATAGTTCCTTATCAAATGTCAAAATCAAAAGTTCAAACACATCAAACGAATGAAAAACAAACAATAATAAAATACAACTGCGTCGGTGCATAACAATCAAATACATTAAACATGTTTAAAAGAATTGAAAAATCTTTAAAAATGTTCTTACCTGAAGATCATTTATTATGTAAACGCATGAATTACCAAATTCGTCCACTAACTTAATATAAACTGTCTTTATTTTGGTTGTTACTTCTGTGGCACTTTTTAAAAGACTTAGTTTTTTAGTAAGTATACGTATAGTTCAACCCTGTTATTCCTCTAAACATACATTTCGTTTTTCTTTGGGTAATTGCAAATAAAGGAAATTCCACAAATATCCTATAAAAATGATATGTGTATTCAATTGAGAAAAAGCAAGATATCCAGCCACCGAAAGCAGGATGTGGAAATCATATATCCACCAAATATATTTTTATCTACTACGTTTAATAATATTCCATTTACAATATATATATATACTGCAGATTTCAATAAATGTTCTCCTCGTAGATACCAGAGCTAAAATTTGTAAACCAGACGGAGTCTACAAAAGACTGGTAAGCCACACTCGATCTTGAAACTATATTAAGTTACTTACACGTACAAACTGCATAATTGGACCCTTTTCGTCTGCTATTTGATAACCAGAGATGCAATATATTAACAATAACACTGCTATTTTCAGACTTATTCAGACTTCTACTGACATTGTGTATATATACAGGTCAAACTAACCTCATTTGCATAAAAGTTGCAATGTGCATGTTTGTCAGAATGACAGACGATGACGTTAAATTATACGATGCATGTAATAGGTAAGTGTTTCTATTATGACATCTGTTCTGTCTACTTACGATGTATAAAGGACATATAAGTAAGTGGATTTTATAGTCAAACCGATGAAGGCATTGCTCTATAATACGATAATATTTTTATATATAATATATTTGAATTACGATATCATGAATGTGTAAACACTTAAATTTGTGAGTTAGGAACATCAAGTAGTTTGTGCATTAATCTGAGTAAGTTTTAAAAAATTTCAAACACATATACTTTACTCTACTGTGTGTCTACTCTTTTAATATACTTTTGTATGCAATAGAAACCTCCCTTTGTTTTATGTTTCAATTCCAAGTTTTGCGAGGCTCCTTTAAACATGTTCATTATTTCACTTTCATATATATAAATTTGATTTAATTTTAATTCGTTATAAATTCATAAGTTAAATAGACGTTAGCTTTTATAAATCGTTTATTAAAGATATTTATTTAAATTTGTAATTTTATTTATTTATTTTATTTTTTAAATTCTTAAAATATTATTTACTTATATAAAAAAAACCTTCATAATTTTATAAAAAAAAAAGTATTTATCGACATTTCTGGGAGTGTCTATTCAGCAACCTCTCCTATCAGAAAGGGTAGCCCTTTTGCCAAGAACTAATCTTGAGATTATGTACTCGGAAAGCCGTAGTATGGTAATTATTTGAATGCTGTGTTTATTGTGTTCACATTTAAAGTCATGTTAATTATTCAAGTGTATTATAATTGGGTTGCATTTGACATCTGTAGTCAGTCTGTCCGTCATGAATAAACTGTTTTAATTTATTGTCCGTACCCCCTATTCTACGGAACCCCTTTTGGTGTCAAAGATGAAATGTAAAATATTTGCGCACGCAACTTTTTATCTTGTGCGCACAACTTTAGATCTTTGATTTCAAATATTAGGTTTTCAGTGTTCTTGATGAAATAAATCCAGAAAAGCGGTTCATAAAGAGTTGCTTTCATTTTTATGTAAAAGCATACAGATGTTTAAATATTGTGTATATAATTGTGTCGTAAGAATTCAGATGAAGCAGACAATTTGTCTTGTTTCAACCCCCCCCCCCCCCCCTTTTTCCCCTCCCCCAAAAGAAACAAACAAAAAAAACAAAAAACTAAAAACAAACAAAACGTTAAACAGACATATACACACAAACACATGTACAAAACACCATAACCACAACTTTCTTCCAGAAACTTTAAATTTATGTCAAATGTTTTAGTGGGAATTTATGACTGAAACTTATATCATGTATACTAGGCATTTAACTTTAAAAAAAACTATCTGAAAGGCAAATTTGATTATCTCTTCATAATAAAAGAGTTATATTATATCTATGACCAAGAGTGAATAGCAAACCATTTTTATTTGGAGCACAATTAACTTTAAAACTATTTTCCAATGAAATTGAATACAGCTAATTGTGATGAGTGTTGTTAATTTATGTGACAATAGATAAACTTGCTTTATATAAGACTACAGCGCAAACGTTCGTTTTAAAACATACATGAAAAATCACACACAAACATATAAAGAACATTTTTTAACTATCAAAGAACGAAAGTAATAATTAAAGCATATACCGAAAGCTGTTATCGTGTTTTCAGAAAAAAAAGGAGATGTTGTATGATTGCTAATGGAAACTTTCACCACTACCTGTACCCATAGGCAAAACTCAAACCGTATAGTAAGCTGTAAAAGGCTAAAACAGGACAACATGTAAAACAATTCGAACAAACAAACAAAAAATGACGGCCTGATTAGATACAACACAATAAACAAAAAGGGAATATTGGAGACACCAACCAACGACAACTTCGTAATTATAGGCTCGTGTATTTTAAATGATAATATTTTCCCTACCTCAATACTCATTTAAAAATTTTGTCTGCTAACCCCTAATTTCCTTTTCATAATTTTGTTACTTATGTAACACTCAGCAACGTGTCCATCCCCCCAAACGTGTCCGATTCCCCCAAACGTGTCCACATGACGTCACTGAACTGCAAAACATGTCTTAAAATGTAAAAAGACGCCAAAGCGTGTCATTTTTGTGAACGCCCAAACATGTCCATTTGTAATGAGCACCCAAACGTGCCCAATCCCCAAAAACTTGTCCATAGCAAGCTCTTTTTTTTTTCTTCTTTTACCGAACGATCATTCTTGTCCATATTATAAATACTTCCGGTTTTTTGTTCTTGCTATTTCATTAAAGTATACTCGTTTTACTATTTTAAAAAAAAATAGAAAAAAAGTACTTTAAGTTTTTTTTAAACCGGCAGTATAACCTGGGTTAAAGTTGGGCGCCCATTCAGCTATGTCGGATGTAAATGTAAGCAGTAACGCTCAGCTAAATTTCTCTGCAGATCAAAACCTTTCTAACAACTCTTTAAAGGTGCCATCAGTTGTATTTTGGAAGGCAACATTTTTGTTCGTTTTTTTCTAGTGGCAGTTAAAATTTCCGCAACTTTTATCTAAAACGGCCTCTTTTACATAACGGACATTGACGTAGTGTCTTACTGGAGTCATTAGAACCTATCTACAATATTTATTGTTAATATAATGTCTTCAAATAATGCATAAAATATTTGGCACTGGACGTTATGTCTCTTGTTCGTGTGTCTGTAGTGATGCTCGAAACCTAAAATTTAAAAAAAAAAAAGCTTGAAAACCAGTTTGTATCAGAACTGTTGAAAAAAGGGAAGTCAATTCATTTGAAAGCCAGCCGTGCAGATTGATATAAAAAGACATCATCGGAGTTTATTAGTACAAAATTATTCACTAAGTAAACGATTAATTCAACTGTACTAAAAAAAATTGTATTTTCGCTATAAATATGCATGAAATACTTGCAACTGGACAATAAGAAATTCCATTCAAAGGTTAATTCATATGTTACATATTAAATTTGCAATAATGACAACCGGCGCTGAACAAACTAATGTTAATAAATGATCACTTCATTCACTGTGTCCCCCACAATGGAATTGCCGTAAACGAGTTTGACGTTATTGAGGACATACATGTTTTAGCGCTAAGTGAGACGTTCTTGCGGTTAACATTGGACACGTTTTGGCGAATAACAATTATCGGACACGTTTGGGGGTTATGAAATCGGACACGTATGGGCGATATTGAATATTAAGGACACTTTGGGGGGAATAGACACGTTTGAGGGATTCGGACACGTTTGGGTGGATGGACACGTTTGGGAGTGTTACATATATATTTAAAAATCTGATAAAATCCTTGTTATTTCTTCATAGTTTTGAAAGAAGAAAGGTGTCAGTGTTAAATTTATGAAAAATCTAGATTGAAACATTCCCCGCCAAAAAATCAATTGACTTCATCTCAAAAACAAAGACACAGACCTTTCATGTTTTTCCTGCGTTTAAAGTTCATTTATTTATACACTATCCCTTTATAGTAATATGAAAAAAGCTTGCTATTTTGAAAAAAAAAGAGCAGCCGATATCCTTAAAGTAAACTTCAAATGATCTTCTAGCGGAAATAATAATATTAGTATCAATTTCAAGTACCTTATTATGAATCAAATTGACATTTGTATGTGCTATTTATACCCTTTGATCATTCGATTTTCATGTTTATTTCGAATCAACTTATTGAGGTATATTCCCCTTTTCCGCCAAGCAATTAATCTCTTTCTCCCTTTAGTACTCTTTCAGTGGTTGTCACCTGTTCCTGAGTATCATACTTGTTTTTCGTGTATTGTTTTGTACATACAGCAGGTATTTTTTTTTCAATGCATTTACTTTTGTCATATCGAAGCCTTTTATAGCTTGCTATGCGGTAGGATTTTTGTTCGTTGTTAAAGGCTATACAGTAACCTATAGTTATATGTATATTGCCGCAATAGCAAGAGAGACCATCCGACTTGAGGTAGATTGATTGATTGTTGCTCGTTTAACGTCCAGTGGCAAATATTTCATGCATATTCAAGTCGAGAACACATTAAACACATCAAACATAAATACAATAGACAGCAAACAGACGACAGAGATGAAGGTTTGGAAATTTGAACTTCAAATGGAAAATTGGAAATAAGAAGATATTAGCTTAAAAATACAAATAAGGCATTATGATTACATTTCTTACAAGACTTGCCACATGATATGCATGGTATCTATTGAAAAATTTGGATTTCCTGTAAATTGATAAGTTGTTTTAAAAAAGAATATATGTATTTTATCTATGAAACGTATTTTTATGTCAGGATATTTCTGCATGTTTGTTGTGTATCATCATGTAAATTGATTTTTATAAAGTGGTACGTAAGCAACTTGTAGAAAATAATCTTTAGTCGACTTTAAATTCCTAACAGGTTGATAAATTCTTGATAGACAAGATAATTCAAATGTTTCCAGTTGTTTATTAGTCATGGTTCCGATGTCAACAACTCGTCTTTCGTTTAATCTAAAATTTCCTTAATGTTGACCTTGCAGTGTATTAATTCTTGCTTCTATCCACCCTTATTGTATGCACTGGTCACATGTTTTTATCCGTTTTCTATCTTCAATAGATTTGAATAAGACCTTTTGTAAAAATACCAAATACCTGATATATGAAAGAAAAAAAAAGGTTAAAAGAACCAAAAGTATAAAACTTAATAAGAATTATCTGTATAATTTCAATTTCAATACATATATTTGTGATTGTATGCAAAATTCTGACCTTGCGGTCATAAAAACTTGAAGTTTGACTATTCTTTTTATACTCAAAAACCAACCAATCAAAATACTGGATTTGGCGGTTCCAGCACAAATTTTGTACTCCGAGTACTGTGTAAAGTTTTATGGCCGCTGACCTGGTATTCATATTTGTGTTACATCGGCGAGAAGCGTGCGACATAAGAGAGCTATTTAGAACCTTGCATATCAATTAACCTATTATTTCAGAGCGGTCAAAGCCACTGCACTTCTAAAATATGGCATGGTAGTGGTACACCAGTTGACGGCGTAGATCAGTAAGTATGCACGGCTACGGTTTATTTTATGTATGGTATGGTAGTATTAGACCAGTTGACGGCGTAGATCAGTAAGTATGCACGACTACGGTTTATTTTATGGATGGTACACAATAATTGTTAATATTTCAAGCTCTAAAGCGTCCCGATTTAGGAATGTTTTGAGTAATTGAATTCAACAAACGACTATTTAACGCACTAACTTTTAAAACTACAACAAAAATACACACCCAAGTTTAATGAAAACAATTGAAGAATATTTGCACTTACTGAAAAGTAAGAATATAACCAGCTTTATAGTGTCCATTGAAATAATAAAATCTTACAGTGAGTTAATGAATCAAATATCAATAATCTAAAGGAGATATCGGGTATATGTCATTTAGACAGCAATCCATCAAAACTATACAAAAACAATGAATATACTAGGAGTCAAAATACAGTCGGCAACAATTTACAGTCGAAGGAAAGCAAACCCTTAGAAACGACCGTTGTTGCTACTTTCTTAAGACAACAAAGGGACTGATATTAAAGCCCGCCCTTCTAAAATTGCGTTAATTTCGCGGAAAAAATAATTTGGCGGCAATTTGGAAAATTTTCTATTTTCTGTTTCTTACTTGCCTATGGAATCAGAAATAGATTTCTTTCTGTCTTTTAAGCATGTGTCTTATTATTAAAGAAAATAATACCTAAATTGTCCGTCTTTAAACAATAACGTTAATAGATTATGCGAAATTGTCTGTTATTTTTTTTTTTTTTTTTTTCACAGATGAACAAAGATTATACTGTATAACAAATTAATAATACGTATCACAAAGTTTAAAAAAATTCAAGTCTAACGTTCTGTCACCCCTTAGGAAACCCCGTTTGAACTAAATTCCAAAAGAAAGACATTTTTGGACATTGTAGTTTTTTGGTCTTACATATCGATGTCAACATGCATCTGAACATAATGTACACACATTTAGTGTGTTTGTTTGAAAAAGCAATGGCGAGTTAAGCTGTGAATTTGACTGGATTAATAATTCTCTTTAAGTGAAATGTTTGACGTTAACTTAAACAATAAGATAAGGAAATTGTATACAGTCTGTGCACAACCTTAAGGTGACTAAAAAAACTCATTCATTGTTAGTATCATTTTTTTTGTGATGAAGGAATTCTGCAAAAGTAAATGCAAAAGTCTTGTCCTTTGAACTTAAAACAATCTCTTTCAGACTTGCATTTTAATTATTCAACGCATTTTCATACTTATATGAAGTGTGACTTACATATGACTTGTGATCTAAAACATAATTTTTGACTTAGCACTCAGAAACTTCTCTGAAATACTTTTAATATGCAAAGTTATTTATTTTTTTAAATAGAAGAAGAAAAATATGAGACCGAGTTTATTTATTCGCAAGTTCATGTTTAGGCTATAAACCATTTGAATAATTATCCATTGGTTTAGGATTTTTTTTATAATTTGAGTCTATTCATTAGAACTTGCATTGAATCAATGAGACAAAATGTATTACTATATTTAGTGTAATAATACACGGATTGCAAACCAATTTTCTTTTATTTCAAATAATGAAGAATTTACATTGAGAATACTTTGATTATTATTTCTTTTAAATGTTAATGAAAAAGGTAGGATCAGGCATCGATATTGAAACAGAATTCCTGTTTGTGATAATTTTAACCCTGTCTAGATCCAGTATTCATGCATATTTTGGCTATCCCTTGTCTTTATGTAGTAGAAATTTATTTCTGTGTTGATATAATTTGGTTACAGCAGTAAAAATATTTACCAAAATATAAATATTAAAGTTACCCTTGGAATAATATATTATGGCACAGAGTAATAACTACTAATATCAAAGCCCTAATTCAGTTCTGAAATTGTTGTAAAAGTGATAAAATGTGCTTACCTAATTGTTTTACATATGTCTTTAGTATCAAAATATATTTAGTAAAATTTTTTTAATAATATCCACTTGTATATAACAGCATATTGTGCATAATATAATAATAATATATATGATAGTACCAATAAGTTTGTTCATGAAAAGTGTCCACAAAGGGACGTAACTCGTAAATTACTATCGGCACTGCTTCGTCAGAAATATCGACACATCGAAGTGGCACATTTGCGTATTACAGCGTGTTAAGTGGCACAAATGTGACACGGGCCAGTTTATAAAAAGTCTCATCACATATTTTAAATTCAGCATAGGTTCCCCAGAAGTTAAGAAAGAAATTTCAACTGATGTGTTGAAAAAACTTGACGCGACGAGTGACGACTTTTGGTTTGACGGCTTTGTATTCTAATTCAGTACGTTTAATCAAAACAATTTTTATGTGAGAACTTCTAAAAAGTATACACAATTGGCATTTGTAACTTACAGCATGCTTTGATTTCATTTGATATGACTTTTTGGAGAAAACAGAGTCGTTTCAGTTGGGGAAAAAAATGACCTAAAAATGCCCAAATATGGTAGTCACATGACTTTCATTGTTGCTTTGAGAAATGGGGTCAAACCGGGGTCAGCTTTCCAACTGTTAAAGTGTCTAAATCGACGTTTAGACAAGATAACATTTTGTTCTGGAAGTTCAACATTTCTAATACTTAAGACAAACACTTGCATGGTTCCTAACTTGGGAAATGCATATTGACTTTTTGAGGGATAACACTTTTTTTTGTTCTTTTAACTGCTTCGGTTTATTGCTGGCCCGGTATCAAATAATTTTGACACGTCTATTTTAAATTTGAGTTCAGGTAAAGACCGTTTTGTGTATTCTCGTTTCGTATGGTTTTCCTATTAACTATTAATTTGAATGTATCTGCTTTGAAAACAGTTAATACTTTATTTATTTTACAGATTTTGCAAAGACCATGATGATTGCTATGATCGTGTGGACGAATGTTGGCCAAAACTTTGGCCATACTCATATGAACTTCATAACGGAACAGTTAATGTCAAAATAAATTAATCAATGTTGCGAATACATTTTTAATAATAATGATATTAATCTGTTAATGATAATAATTAAAACAAATAATATAATAATAATAATAATAATAATAATAATAATAATAATGATAATCAATAATCAATAATAATAATACTAATTTTTGATAAAAAAATAATCAGCGTAATTAAGACATTCTCTCTTTCAATATGATAAATGTGTCTTAGTTTTATGATAATTTTTTCTTTCCAGATCATCCCAGTTCATGTTAAAGGAGAATATGTATGTGTGACACAGTTTTTGTGAACTGTCTTCATAACAACACGTATAATCCAAACAATCATGATGTAGACCAAGATGAATATTGTCAGGGGAGATAATAAATTTGAAACATATTACTCTTAGTTACTTTTCTTATACAATTTTTTTCACATTTCATATTATTGATTTAAGGATATAAACGTGTGATCCTTACATGCATTAGGGACAAAAGAAGTGTTTTCTTTGTAGTATGTCCACTTGATTGCATATATGTTTTTGATCGGCTTATATCAGGAAGACAAACACATGAAATATACTATAGAAAATCGTGTTGAAATAATGAAAAAGGATCCTTTGTTGAACACCACTATCCTAGGTAAGATGATGGTTGAGCGTCACAATGCAAAATTGGGAAGATGTGGTACGAATGCCAATAAGGCATTATTTTCCAAACTGAGACCAAATGACGTAGAAGTTAGCAAATCACATGTTTAACGCAACGCAACGCCGTCACATTCTGAAGTAAGCCAGGAGCCTGTAATCTGACGGATCTCGTTGTTTGCTGTCTGTCATAATTCGACTTGATTTTCGCTTATTGGTGTAATTTAAATCAGGCTGCTGGATATCTTTTTTTAAATTTTTTTAAATTTTGACGTCCCAGGGACTTTCATTGGTAACTTTACGGCACAGTTTTTTTTTCAAATGGCTAAAGACATCACAGTGACCTAGAATTATTCACACCTTTGATCTTTGCACTTTGATAGTTGTCTGATTGACAATGATATATCCTAGTTTTTATTTTTAGTCATGAGTATGCCTATTTCGTATTCATTGTTTGGTTTTTAATAGGCAACTTTGTGTGTAGGTCTATTAAAAAGAATTATTTTGATGTTAAAAGTGCTTGAAAACTTGGATAACTGAATTATTGATGCAATTTTCTTCCTGGATTGCTGGTACGTTTTTGATAGAAGATTCGACGTAAATCACTTTACTCTGGTGGTATTGAATAGACAATAGCATGTTGTTACCAGCTGTAATGTTTATATTGGACGAGCCTTCATTTATATAGGAAAAGTTACACATATACAATATTAGGTCACTATCTCAACATTTTGATTAATATTTAGTTTGTTTATGTTGATAACTGTGTTCTCAGTGGTATTAGGGACATGCATGTAACATTTTAGGTACAACGTATTTTTGGAAATCCTCACAACCAAATGTCATAAGTAGAAAAATTTTCATAATGAAAAAAATTAACAGGAAGTGGAAATTCCATATCATTTAGATACATATTATTATAAGATTTCGCTGGCTTGAATCACATTCAGAACAAAGCAATTCGTTTTTTTTCTGGCGTCCATAAATTTGTACTGACATTTGCAATAAACGGTGAAGTTGGTTGGTTGCACGCAAAGGAACGACGATGGTGTAATATTCTAAGATATTAGAACAAACTTGTATCTATGGACGAGACTGGTGTATGCAAACGCGTCTTCACTTGGGACTACGAAAGGTGTACGGACAATTGGTCTTCGGAAGTGAAAAACATTATGTCATTTATAGGATTGGAGAACAACTTTATTACAAAAAACACATGTGATTTACTTGTTTGCAAAACTGTACTCCGCAGATTGGGAGAAAGGTTTAGCGAACTTTCCGAAACTTCGAACATACAGGCTCATAAAATCTGAATATAGCTGTGAACATTACATAGAACTTAATCTTAACCGTAACGGAAGGTCCATACTAGCGCAGCTCAGGTGTGGCATTATTCCAATCAGTTTAGAACCTGGTCTTTTTATAGGTGAAGCAGAAGATGACCGATTGTGTAAAATGTGTGATGATAACTGTGTGGAAAACGAGTTCCATTTCCTCATAAACTGTAATTTTTACAACAATCTACGAGCACAACATTTCGCACAAATTGAACATTTATATGTTTTATCAAACGATGAACATTTAAAATATTTACTATGTCAACATCAGAGAAATCTGCTAAATATATATTGCAAGCTTTTAGTAAGAGAAAAAACTTTTTATATGCAAATTTTCGGTAAATTGATTTATTTTGTTCGCCGTTCCATAGACATTGATGTTTAAAGTGACTTATAGGTCCAACGGGTCGGGTGTTATAATTATTGTTTTTATATTTCACTGTATTATATACTATTTTGGGAAAAATCACATGTCACTTTAATGAATAATTTAGTTAGTTAGTTAGTTAGTTGGTTATTAAATAAACAACTGCATTCAAAATATGATAGCATTAATGACAATGTGAATTCCACAAACTTTCCGCCATTGCAGTCAGGGTACGAAAGGTTTTTTTTTTTTTGTTTCTTTTTTTTTTTTTTTTTTTGCTATTTTGGCCAAATACATTTCTTGTTCAGTGCACTGTTTGTTATTTACAATATACAGATGTACATCCCGAATTCCATTAAAAAGATACGTACACGTAAAATCAGCATAATTTAACTGTTTCCGTCTGCAAAGTGACAAAACAAGTGGAAATATTGACAATATCAAAGACCGCTTGAGCTGAAAATATTATTATGGTCACGAAACATTGAAAGAATAAGAAAAGAGGAATCAAATAGATCGTCATAATTAATTTATTATACAATATATTATCGTCTTAAAAAACCTTTTCGTCAAGGCTTCCAATTACATAGTGCACATGCACAAGTAAATCAAGCGAATGATTTTGCACAATACTGACAATATATGACGGTCTGGATGGGGTTTACAGAATTGAGAATAATGGGCAAAATGTGCAGAATAAATGACAATAAAAATAAAGAATAGAGAAAAATAGGCCAAAAAATAACAAATAGAGAATAATGGGGTGTAAAAATATAAAGAATAGAGAAAAATGGGCAAACTAGATAAAGAATACAGAAAAGTGACTTAAACAATTAAAGAATGTAAAAATGAAAGACCCCCATCCAGACCCTCATATATTCATGTCTGCCAGGTCGTGAACATGACGTTTGTGGTTTTAAATTTAATAATAATAGCTACATGATTTGTGTTATTGTTTTGAGTATGACATTTATTGTATAAATTTATTTAGGGAATATAATTTTAAGTATGAAATAAGAAGATGTGGTATGATTGCTAATGAGACAATTCTCCACAAGAGACCAAATGACACAGACATTAACAACTATAGGTCACCGTACGACTTTCAACAATGAGTAAAACCCGTACCGCATAGTCAGCTATAAAAGGCCCAGAAATGACAAATGTTAAACAATTCAAACGAGAAAAACTAACGGCCTGATTTATGTATAAAATAATGAACGAAAAACAAATATGATATACAACAACAAACGACATCCACTGAATTACAAGCTCCTGACTTGGGACAGGCACCTACAGACTTTGGCGTGGTTAAACTAGTTTGAAGGCGCGCCAACCCTCCCCTAACAAGGGACAGTGGTGTAACAGTACAACATAAGAACAAACTATAAAAATCAGTTGAAAAGGGCTTAAATCATCAGATCGATACAAAGCAGAAATACATCTAACAAAAACACAGAGAGGAAGTGACAGGCTATTTACATTCCCACAACAAAAAGGATACCAAGTACATTTCTGAGTGTACTCGCAGTTACTTACAGCTTGTTCAAACCGAATAACAAACTAATAGAAAAATCATGTATCTAAGACAAAAAAATCGTGTATTTGGTCATTTCAAAAAGAAGTAAAAGTAAAATCGTTTCTTTTCTCCATATATTTATATAGTTACTTATCAACAAAACTACTGTCACAACCTTTACAAAATAACACTACGTACCAGATGGAATTTGGTAAATCTTGGTGACAGCGAACGAATTTCACTCGTTCTAATCCTAACGCATCTATAATAGCAGCTAACACTCTCATAGTAGATACATATTATGCATTTTTTTCTTTAACAATTAATAATGTTTCCATTCTAGTAGGATTATAACTAAGACATGAATGATTAAACTGTGCACAAACGTACGTCTCCTATATGACCAAAACTATTAATTGCCAGTTGAAGTCATGAAGTGGCAAACAATTCGATGATACATTGTACAAGACGACTGCATACCATGTTGTTGTCTTTTTAACGACGATTTATTTAACATATACTAAGCCGGAGTGCCCACAGAGAACCACTGACCTTCGGTAGGAAAACTAACTATCATAGTCAATTAAGATTGGAGTTGTGAGCACCTGCCATGTGCGGGTTTCGAACTCACAACCTCAGTGTTGACAGGCTAGTGATTTAGTAGTTCGATTGCTTAGAATACCCGGCCACCGAGGCCCCTCATTTTTAGGTTTAGGATACCTTTAAATATGTATGTCTATCGCTTATGAACATATATAAACCTAAACATGTTTATAGTTTGTTCTTATGTGAATTGAACTGTTACACCACTGTCACAGGTTAGAGGAGACAGCAAACATGTTTATAGTTTGTTCTTATGTACGTTGTACTGTTACACAACTGTCACATGTTCGGGGGAGGCAGCACACATGTTTACGGTTTGTCCTTATGTACGTTGTACTGTTACACCACTGTCACAGGTTAGGGGAGATAACAAACATGTTTATAGTTTGTTCTTATGTACGTTGTACTGTTACACAACTGTCACATGTTCGGGGGAGGCAGCACACATGTTTACGGTTTGTCCTTATGTACGTTGTACTGTTACACCACTGTCACAGGTTAGGGGAGATAACAAACATGTTTATAGTTTGTTCCTCTGTAAGTTAAACTATTACACCACAATGACAGGTTAGGGAAGACCAACACACATGTTAATAGTTTATTCATATGTTAGTTGTGCTGTTACACCACTGTCCCGGGCTAGGGGGAGACAGCAAAGATGTTTATAGTTTGTTCGTATGACAGTTGTACTGTTACACCACTGTCACAGATTGAGAGGAGGCAACAAACACTTTTATAGTTTATTCTTATGTAAGTTGTACTGTTACACCATTGTCCCTGGTTAGGGGAGACAGCAAACATGTTTATAGTTTTTTCTTATGTAAGTTGTACTGTTACACCACTGCCCCAGTTTAGGGGAGACAGCAAACATGTTTATAGTTTTTTCTTATGTAAGTTGTACTGTTACACCACTGCC